GAAAAGAGTGTTTTGCGACAAGTGAAAATCCTGTGAAACTTAACATCTCCGTCTCCGTACAAAAAGCTTTATTGGAACAGCCCTACCTGTTGGCTGGTCACACAGTAGCTGTGGTGTGGCTGCTTTCACGATGCAGTCGCAAGATTGTGGAGTCATAACAGAGACTGGAGGTCTCGTAAAACCTAAGATATTTGCGCTCTGCCCCTTCCCAGAAAAAGTTTGTGACGTCTGGAGTGCAGACTAGTGAGGGAAGTGGTGCCCACACGTGGACCAGGTAGAGACAGATGACGCTGGCCGGATTAGAGACGGGGATGTCGACTCAGGTGGGCAGAGTGGATTCAGGATAAGTCGAGGTGGAGTGGGCAGGAATTGCTGGCGGGTCATGTGTGAGTAACAGGAAAGACGGCACGTAGGTTTTTGTGCTGAATAACCATGTGATTTTTACCGAGGGCTTGCTCTGCCCCAGGCCCTTATGCCAGGGAGCGTCTGAGTCTATGTGACACCACCCCTGTTGTCGTGCTTGTTTCACAGACGAGGAAACTGAGGCCCGGGAGGTTAAAAATCGTTGGCCCAAAGTCACACAGCCAGCACATGACTGAGCCAGGATGGGAGAGCCTGTCCTTTGAACCTGAGCTGTAAGCGTACCTGTGTCAGGCCACCCATTACAGGAAGGTGGCACCTTCTAATGATGTTGGGAATGACGGATGCCTGACGTCCTGAAGGCTTCCTTCTCTGCCCCGTGAAACGTGCTTTGCGTACGTGAAGTCATTGAATCTCCTTTCCAGTAAGGAGGTGGATGGACAAAGGATAGTTTCTTTTCGTCATAGCAAGTGGTCAAGCCAGGGTCCTGGGCATTCTGCGGCGGAAACGCGGCAGAAACACAAAGCGTGCAGAGTTGGGTCTCGAGGCCTGGGCTTGTGGCTTTGGGGCTTGGGGGCCGTCAGTGAAGGCACAGCATGGGCCGCACAGCCACGTGATCCCCTGCCACGGCCCTCACTGTTCTTGTTACGCTGCCTGATCTGAGCCTCTTGACGATCTATGTACTGGAGTTACCTGTCTTCCTAGAAACAGGCTGAGAACGTTTGGCCTGCGCAGAACCATAGCAAGGGAGTGGGAGCTGGGTTGGGCCCAGGCTGTCTGACTTAAAAGTCAGTTCTTTCCAGTGGATAATAGACTAGCAATTAACATTCATAAGGAGTGAATGGTCTTTTAAAGGTTATTTAGAATGCATGACAAAGAAGGAACCCTCCATGCTTAATCACGTGGACATTTAAAAAAAAAAAAGTGCTCTCTTCAACCAGATGACTGGCCTAATCTCTTCAAATATGACCCTATGTTGAAAAGAATAGGACTGACCACTCTAGATTCAAGGACGTTACACTTGAGAACCAAACGCATTGTGTGTGTCATGATGGGATCCTCGGTGTTTTTTAAGCCATTTTGGGGGGTAATTGGATTATAGACCACATATTAGATACAATCGCATTGACATTGTTTTTTTTTGTTTTTTTTTTTTAAATTTTTTTTTTTTCAACGTTTATTTATTTTTGGGACAGAGAGAGACAGAGCATGAACGGGCGAGGGGCAGAGAGAGAGGGAGACACAGAATCGGAAACAGGCTCCAGGCTCTGAGCCATCAGCCCAGAGCCCGACGCGGGGCTCGAACTCACGGACCGCGAGATCGTGACCTGGATGAAGTCGGACGCTTAACCGACTGTGCCACCCAGGCGCCCCCGACATTGTTTCTTTTTAATTTTTTTAATGTTTATTTTTGAGAGAGAGACAGAGTGCGAGTGGGGGAGGGAGGGGAGACACAGAATCCGATGAGGGCTCTGAGCTGTCAGCGTGGAGCCCGAGGTGGGGGTCGAACTCGCAAACCATGAGATCACGACCTGAGCTGAAGTCGGACATTTAACCGACTGAGCCACGCAGGTGCCCCGACGTTAAGTTTCTTAGTGCGATAATGGTCTGTGGTCATGTAGAAGAATGGCTTTATTTCAGGATTCATGTGGGGTGAACTGCCACCCTGCTGCAACTTATTTTTAAATCATTCAGCCTGGAGAGTATGTCATTTACAGGTGCAGAAAAAGAGAACTAAGGATCTAAGTGAAGGGGACACAAAGCGTATGTTTTACTGTTCCTTCAGCTTTTCTGTAAGATTAAAACATTTCAGTAAAATGGTGAGGGGTCCTTGAACCAATGCACAGATAAGGTGGATGTGGTCCCTCCGTACAATGGAATATCACCCAGCTGTGGAAATGATGCGCTGATGGGTGCTATGACGTGATGGATGTTGACAACACTGTGTCAAGTGAAAGATCCAGACGTGAGACGCGACGTGTCCTTTTTGTTCCATTTCTACGCAGATGCCCACAAAGGACAGACCAAGAAGACTGCCACAACGGCGGTAGCTGGGGGCCAGTGGCGACAGGGTGGGAGGTGCCTGAAAAGGAACAGTGTCTTGGTGGCGTGATGGCATGTGGAATTGGATGGTGGCCGTGGTTGCTCAAGTGCGGGTAGGCCACCAACCACCGAGATGGACGTTTCCAAATGGGGAATTGTTTCGTATGCGGACTGTATCAGGAGAAAAGCATTCAGAAGGAAAGCGATGCTGCTGTTCTGCCACAGGCTCGCTCCGTGCCGGGTGCTGACTGCCGGGTGGAGGGAGGTCTGGGCGTGAAGCCGGTCGGTCGGGCTGCTCTCCAGGGTGGGTTGCTCGTCACCTCCCGGCTTTTCTTGTGTCCAGGACGTCTGCTTGTGTTCTTAAGGTAACATAAGCTTCTCTATCACTGTCCCCTTCCCCTCCCACCCCCCAGCAGGGTCTCGAGGGAGCATTCTGAGCGAGAGATGAGTGGGGTCCGGCAGTGTAGCTTTGAGGGGCCTCTGCGGCCCTGAGACAGCGGATGGGCCACTGAGGACTCCAAGGCGATCCGTTTCGGTGGAAGTCCTGCCAGCCCCTTATTTCTCCCCAGTGTCTAACCTTTTTCAGAGGTCGCAACCGTCCTTTCAAATAGTGAACTGAAAGAAGAAAAACTTACTTTACAGATAAAGAGAGGAAATGATACTTTTTTTTTTTTTTCC